TCTAGTCTCTTCCACACAGCCTCCCCTCCCCTTCTACCATTCCACTAAGTAAAAGTATTCCCATAATACACCACTTCTCTCAGCTCCGCCTCATCCACACACTCTTGAAATTCCTTGCTTTCCATTAAGTTATAAGGAAGGCCACCTCTTTTTTCATCTGCTCTCAAGATACAGTTAAAGTCTCCCAGAACAGACCATCTCTCCCCTCTCATAATTGCCCCACTGCCAGATCAACTAAGCCATTCCAAAGGTCTTGTCTCAAAACTTTATTGCAGCTAGCATATACAAAGGTTATGTAAGCTAGATTACCATCTTCCAGAGCAGCTTTTATTGTAACCATCTGCCCCTTATCCTCATACACCTGGATGTTCCAATCTGAAGTCCAGAACATCCAAATCTTATCATTCCCATAGCAATTATTAAAGTTGACCCAATAAAGACTACAAAAGCTTTTATCTGAGCTGGATCTCTAAAAGGCTCAATTAGGCACACAACTTTTGGTTTGTAAACTCTCACCAAGTTCCTTATTCTATGAGGGGAGCCTTGGGAGCCCACTCCCCTCGCATTCCAACACAAAACCTTCATCTTTTTTTTTCTTGGGAGAGGCCTTTTTACCCCTCTTGGCAGACTTAGGCTGATTCTGCTCTTGGTTCCCATTCTGATTCAGTTGTGCTCTAGTTCTTGTGCCAATTGGGGACACATGGAGCCTTTTGTAGTCTTTCTCTTTGCCTTCTTCTAGCTCTTTCTTTTTCTGACACAGTTCCTACTCCTGCTCTTCCCCTCCACTTGAGTCCCTAGGATCAGAAGTAGTTCTTTCCTCAGATACACCTTGGTTTTCCTCCTCCCTGTCCTCTCTAAAATCCATAGGTCCAGGATCAATTTCATTTGATCCTATGTGGTTTACATCCTCATCTATCTGCCCCAAGGCATTAAAAGACCCTCCATCAACCACTCTTACCCCCTCAGATTCCTTCTCCTGCCCAGCTACTCCTGCATTTAATATGATAGAATGCATAAAACAATCTAAAGAGTATGAACCAACTAAATAATATAAATTTACACCAAATATTCATTTATTCATACTTAACCAAATATGGGCAATCATAATTCAAAGAACTAAATGAATTATGGGATTAATGGCAAAAGTCAATTGCCTTAAAAATATGTTTTTCGAAAAGAGTTAATACTATCTGAGGTCCTCCGAGTATAGTGGTTTTGCCACGTTTAGTCCTAAACTTTCAAATTGACCATCTGTGGTCCTTCAACTTTCAAATTTAACCATTCGCGGTCCAAGTTAACCACCCATGGTCCTTCAAGTTTCGAAATTTAACCAGCTATGGTCCTCTTGAAAGGACCATGGTTGGTTAAAATTTAATACTTTAAGGACCATGGGTGGTTAACTTGGACCACAAATGGTTAAATTTGAAAGTCGAAGGACCACAGATGGTCAATTTGAAAGTTTAGGACTAAACGTGGCAAAACCACTATACTCGGAGGATCTCATATGGTATTAACTCTTTTCGAAAATTACTAAATTGATTCAAAATCACTCTCCATAATCCAAGTAATAATATTATTATTATTATTAACGACAAAATTGCAAATATCCAAAATAGCAATAAATAGCCATAATAATAATGTTATCACATTATGTAGGAGACTAAATATGGAAAAACAATGGTTAAAACCGCTAACATTAATAAACGTTTTCGGATAAAATTTTGAAAATTTAATAAAATTTGAAGTCCGAAAAACATTAATGTCAAGAAAACTATTTTCTTAACTGGAATCACATAAATTTATTTGAAAACAGTTCAAGATACATATCTGAATACCATAACAATATTAATGTCATCATTAATTAATTATTAATAGTAATAAGTAACATTATAATCACTATTAACATTAATAATGATGACAAATCAAAGTATGGTAATGCACCTTTTAATGTTTCTATTTTTCTGAAGAATAAAATATGTGACTAGTCCAAATTAGCGGTTATCTGTAACTTAGCACTATTATGATACTTAATCCTTAATGTCTCAAAACAGGCCAAGACAATAATTATAGCACTTAATCACTCAAATTAGGCTCATAAACCTTAATGACCCAAGTGAATTATAACATGGATGGAAAATGGTCTAGTACTGAAGTAGACCCAAAACTTATTATTATTACCAACAATGAATATCATTATAAAATATGGTAGTTAGTAATAATCAAAACTTAATAAACATGTTACAATTAAAAAGAGCTATAATTATCATTAAAATATCAATCAAAATGGTGGGATCCATACTTTAATGACCCAAGATAGGTCCTAAATAGGTTGTTCAAAATAGGTTCTAAAGCCCCAAAAGACACATAAAATTAAAATGTGCTCAAAATTAAAGGGAAACCAAAACAAGATACCTTAATAGGTCAAAATATAATGCTTAAAATTGACCTAAGGATCTAAAATTGAGTGATATTTAATAATGAGTTTATGAGTTAATAATATGCTAAATCCAACCTTAATGCATCCTTTTATAAATGTATAATTATAATAATAAAATAATTATTTAATAAATATACGTAGCATGCTTGGATTTGCATATTAATGTATTATTAACCCATAAATCCTAAATAAATTGCAATAATTCAGGCAATTTAATATGCATCTCAATATTAAATTAAAATCCAAATAGCAAATTAAAACTTAATATTTGCCTAAATTTGAATAATAATTTAATTATGAATTTAATGTCAAAATTAAGAGAAACTAAAGGACATTAATATTCCAAATTAAGCAATTACTATATATTTACCATTAAAATAATATACAATATTAATTAAGGTTAAATTAATATGATAATATTAAACCTAATATATTACCATACCAAAATTAATATATAAAATATTAAATTAGGCAAATCCTAATCCTAATATGGTAAAATAATATAAGTAATTGCATTTTGTAAGGAAATGTACCAATACGTAGGACGTCTTCTTCTGTCTTCTTCCAAGCATCACCGACAGCCAGGCCATTCGTCCTTCTTCCAATCCATCGCTGGAAAGACCAGCGCCACCACCGACAGCCTTATGAAGAGGAGAATGTGCCACGATCCAGCCTGAAGGAGAGGGATCAGCCCAACTCCGCCGTATCATGCCTTTGCATAACGCCAACAGCCGCCGCGCATGGCGCTGCCTGAATGAAGAAAGGGAGAAATCGTGGTTCGCCAGAAACCCAGCCTCGCTCCGTCGCATCTCCTCTTCGCAACGCCAGGGACAGCCGCTGTTCCCCTCTGCTCGCGAAGCCTCCGCCGGCCGACGACCACAACAGCGCCGTCCAGACTTAAGCCATGGGTCTCTTTCATCGTCGACTGGTGCTTAAGGGGCAGCGACAACCCGTCGCCGGCGTCACCTGAAGAAGAAGACGTCACTGGGAAAACCCAGCTTCGGCTCTGCCGATCCTCTTCGTCACACCGCCACCCACCGTCGTCAATGACAGCCGGAGTCCATAGTACCGGCGTACATGGTTCGACGATTTATGCCGGAAAACTAAATCCGGCGGAAGGAAGAAAACAGGCAGAAAACTGAAGTCAATCTATCTTGTTGTTACTGTTGCTTCATGTATATGAAATTAATGTTGATTTTTAGGCAATACAATCAACCAGGCGGAGATTATAAAGACTCTGAAATTAAATGTTAGATCTAAATAGGTCTAACTATAATAAACCATAGTATACGAGAAACCTGACCTCGTATGATAGCGGAAGCGTAGCCGTGATGATCTCCAGCCACAGTTGATGTTCCTGTTGTATTGCCTCTTAACGGTAGACCGTTAGTCATGTTTTGCCTCAGACCTGACTCAGAACCCTAGATGGTGTATTGGTGTCTACTGAGCAGTCTGAGTACCGTAACTGAATGTGCTAACATCAATCATCCTGTATCCACTTAATAAGCCTAGTCAACTTGCACCACTTAATTAAGACCCTAATATATAATATACAATATATATTATTAGGGAACATCTTACATCCTAACATAGAGTATAATCATCAGCAATAATATCTATTCTGCAACTTTATATAGAAGTTGCGTGAAAACTTAATTTATTAATTAGTAGGAAGCAAACTATTAATAGCTATACAATGAGATAAAATAGGCTACGAAAAGCAACCATGCATACCTATTCTACAAGATAGGAAATTAGGCTATGAAAAGCAACCATGCATACCTATTATACAAGATAGGAAAACAACTAATAAACGCTGGAGCAAAAAAATAATAGGAATAAGGTTCAAATTGGCCACTGAACGAAACGTGAAAGTGCAATTTGGCCACTCAACTCTCTAAATGTATGCAATTTATATTCAGAAAGATATATATTCAGTTTATATAATAATTATAATTAAGATGTTAATAATTAAGATGTTGGAAGGGCAAGAATAATAAGTAGTGGAACAATTTAGAATGTTTAAGTATATTTTCGGAAGCAGTGGTAGGGGATCTGTTTCATTCTGTTTATATCTGTTTCATTCTGTTTATTAACATCTTAATTAAAACTGCTATCATAATTAAAACTGCTATCATGTGAGTGCACTTTAACATTTGGTCGTTCAAGTATGCATACATTACATTTGGTCGTTCCAGAATAATATAAACAATTAATCCTCAATACTTTATACTTCAATTATTCTACCGTGAACGGTAATATAAACCTCTTTTAGAGAGGGGAGCATATGAATTCAAAGTAAGTGAGACTGTCTTCATTGCAGAAAAACACAGAATAGAGTTTGATGTTGAAGAAGCAGCACAAATTTTAGGCATCCCCATCACGGAATATTAGTTTCCACCTAGCTAGGCTTCTTTCATTTGAGCGAAAATTGTAATTTTTGTCTCTAAGTTATTGTATTATTTCTGTCCATAATTCCTGTGTGTGCTTGTATGTCGCGAAAGAACTAGAGACAAACATAACAACCTAGATAAAGGCTTAAAGGTAAATAACAAGTAGGAATTCACATCAGACGTTCAAGCGAAATTACAGAAATAATTTGCGAGGTGGTCTTTGGCAAATCTCTTACCTTCCAAAAACGTGCGCCGATTGCTTCTTCAACCTTGTCCGATTGCATTCCTTTTAGCTGCAAAACTGTGGGTTTAACGTTTAGTTCCTCCTTCATACTATGCCATGGCACATGTAGCCCCCACCGTTTCCCGTTAATCCCCGCGGTCCATATTTTCTTTTCCTCTGTGATGAACGGGATTGGATAATCCACGGTAAAATTTGCAACATCCACCGTCTGGGTTTTAGCCCACTCGTTCTTGTTGTTATTCATGAGAACCCATATCTTGATTTTAACTCCCTTAGAATTGTAGAAAAGAGACAGCTTTGAATTCCATTCTCTTGGAATCACATACCTCCAATTTGAGAAGAGATTTTCTGGGATTTCAGCAGTTTTAATGCTCTCGTCCTCTGGGTCCACCCACAGAATTTTCTTGCTGTCGGTCTCCATTGTGACGACATAGAAAATATTTTCAATACTTAGAGCGTATATCTTCAGCTCCTGACCGGCTTTGCTAATGGAGTATACGGAGTTGGGTGGGGAATTCTTGAGAGGTCTCCACGCTGCATCCACGCCCCCGGTTACTGCTCTAAATCGTCCGAGAAAAACTGATTCTTCCGACTCCGAGAAACTTAGCACCTTGCACTCCTTACAGCTTTTTGCCACGAAGAACATTCTGGCCACCACCCAAGTCGGAAGTTCATTGCCGACCCGGAGATCCGGCAGGTATACCGTTTTCCTAGTCACCGGATTCTTTATGCTAAGCCTTTCCGTGTGATCTTTTTGACACTGGTGCTCGTGCTCTAACAGTAACCCTTTCTGTATATCAATACACGTGAATTCCGCATCCTTACGGATCAGTCGAGGAAAGGGAATGGGTTGATTTATGTATTTTTGATGATAGTAGAAACACATGCTGGCGCGGCGGTGATGCTTTTGGACGAAGTCATCTTGTTGGATGAGTTGGCGCCACTCCTTGCAGACGCAGTTGAATCTCAGTAATGATTCCACCGGCAACCAGCTCAGAATCTCGGCCACCATATCTTCTGGCAGCGCCGGCATTGCTTTAGACATTGTAGTCATCATATGCAAAAGGAAGACTAGGTTGGAAGGAATTATACATATTTATTGAAGCAGATCGTCTAAGATTGTTTATGTTTAGGAAAAGGATTCTTAGGGAACTAGGAAACTGGCTAAGGAATAATAATATTTTTATTTTGGAAGTAGCTAATAGTATTTTTTATTTTATATAAAGAAAATAATAATTTTTTTAGTTATTTACAATGTCTATACATATTTTTTTTTTTACGTACTACTAGTATTTTCACACGTGGATTTGTTGTAATATATTAAGATTATTTGGATTGATATATAATTATTTAAATTGGAACATGAAATATTATATAGTGCAATTGAATGTATGGTTTGGATCGTTTATGTGTTTTTGTGTTTATGTGTTTTTCAGTCAATTACTCAATTAGAATATTAGATGCAGTGATAATTTTACCTAATTTTCGTTCAATTTTTGATTGATGATATAGAATATTTTTATTGAAATATTTTCGTTCTATTTTTAATTTACATTTACTATTGTTTAAAATATGCATTTACTATTGGTGAGGTAGAATATTATTATTGAAATATTTTCTTTCAATTTTTAATTTTCGTTCTATTTTTAATTAAAATGCAAATGATTTGAAAAATTCTTTTTTCATTTTAGTCAATTATGGATCATTTTTTATTTGCAATCAATTATTAATATTCATTTCCTTTTATATTTTCAATCAATTAGTAATATCATATTCATTTTTAGCCAATTATTCTTTTTTATTTTCAATCAATTAGAATATCAGATGCATTGATATGTTTACCTAAATTCCGTTCCATTTTTAATTTCTGTTCCATTGTTTAAAATTGTGAAAGATTTATGATATAATTGTAAATTGATTTATTCTACTGTGTAATATTATTGTAAAAAATTAAAATACAATGATCTAACAATTTTCTTTTCCGTTTTAGTTAATTATGGATTTTTTTATTTTCAGTCCATTATTAATATTCATTTTCTTTTCTAATTAACCTAATTTTCGTTTCTTTTGTTGGAAAAAATAGCTTGAAATGGCATAAAATGGCATATTAAGTGGCTATTTTGTGGTACAATTATCAGTGGGGTCTACTTCTGATTTGGGTCGGGTCAAAGTGGATTCGGGTTCTTCGTAGTGAGACGAAGAGATTGATATATTGTACGCTCAAAACGGATAATGGGTGAATGAGATATTGATTCTCAAAGTAGACCCATTTGAGTTGGAAAATGAAGGGAAAAAGTGAGCTTTTGTCCCACATTGGTTTGGGAAGAGGATTTGCCTCACTATTTATATATGAGCTCTTATTAAGCTTATTGAATTGTATAGCATAGAGGTTCTCTCTCACGCGTAGGGAGTGCAAATCAAATCCCAAAACTTCGGCCAAATGGCGCGGCCACGTTAGGCCGAATTTGCAAGTGAATTGCAAATGGCCACGTTATGCCAAATTTGCATGGGAATTGCAAATTGCAATTGCAATTGCTAATTTCGGCTAGCTTGGTCGAAACTTTGCAATTGCAAGTTTCGGCCAAGTTGGCCGAAACTTTGCAAAAGCAGTGGCCGAGATATGCATAGTATACACGAACCAGAAAGCTTCTATTTGTGACTGTTGGGATTTAATTCAGCTGTTATGGGATTAATTCTTTGAATTAAATCCAATTTTAATTTTTGAATTAACACCTATGTTAATGGTTGCTGTTACGGAAGTTGTAGGGGTGCCCCTAAATGCCATAATAAAGGTTATTCACTCCTCAATCCCTATATAAGGAGGGGGCAGAGTGCAGCAGATTTTTACAAGCATATAGTGAAAAGAACACACAACACAAGAAGTGTTTTCTCTCCTCAAAATTCTGCTTCTACTCCTTTCTTAAGCCGAACTGTGTTCAAGGCTTTGCTCTAGTTCGCCGGGTTCGTTCGTTTGGGTACTCGAACGTCGAACCGTAGCGCGTTTTATCCTGGGAAACCTAGGCCACGGCGCTCCTAGCACTTTTGGGAGGTGGCAAATAAGGTTTTAAGGAAAGAGTGGTCTCTTGACTCACGCTAAAAACCCTTACCCAAACACGAGCCAATCTTTCCTTCTTTCGATTTTGGATTATGCTTCTAAGCAAGAATCCTCCTTTTATGTTATAGTTTGGTTGGAATTATAATCTGTGTATTATAAGTTCCATTTGGTTGATATGTATATATCTTTTCCGTAGATATTCATGCATATAACCATGGTGGTCTGATTTATATATATATTTGTGTGTGTGTGTATATATATATATATATATATATATATATATATATATATATATCGGATATGATATATCGAATAATATTTTATATACTTCGTGTGTGTATATATAAATATTATTTTACGATATTAAATCGATTTTTGGTTCATTATCACCAACATCTTTTTCTATTTTTAATTTTCATTCAATTATTAATATTCATTTATTTTTTAATTTACCTAATTTTTGTTCCATTTTAATTGATGATGATGTAGAGTATTATTGTGAAATATTTTTGTTCCTTTTTTAATTAACCTTTACTTATTTACTATTGTTTGGCGGAAAATCAAATAAATAAGATTTTATTTTTATTTATAGTATAGATTTTTATTTTTAAAATATTGTCAGGCAACCCAAACACTCCCCTAGTCTCCCATAAAAAAACTGACCAAGAAAAGTCATTTCATTAAGAAAATTAAAACTAATTAAAGTAAATCTAATCATACTATATTTATTTGTAATTGTGTATTAATTTCTTTTTGAAATCATTGGTTTACATATTTGAATTATTTATTTTTTCTTTAATTATTATAAACATAAATGATATTGTACTAATTAATTTATGATATTTATCAAATTTAATTGTTTAAAATATAATTTTTTACCCGTTCGTTGCACGAAATTTTTTTGTTATTATGAATTTAAAATTGAAAATATAAAAAAATGAAAAGATGTTAATGTAACACCCCAATTTTCATATTCCATTTTTCCTTACAATTATTTTTTTTCTCAATTGAAAATGAACTAAAATCATAGCGAAAGCATTTACTAACCAAAATAAATGGGTGTTACCACCATACTTAGGCAACCAACAACCTAAGTGCTAAGGCTAAAAATTACAACTTACAAATAAACAATCCAAATTCAACAACACAATAAAGTTAAAATTTCTACACAATTGTATAATCCTCAAAATAACAAATCTTCATCATGTCTATTCTTAGATAGACTTAATTCCTTCACGACTTGAATTCATCTCAAATTCCTATATCCATGTTCACCTGTAAAAATAATTTGCAAACAAAACAGGGTGTAGACAAAATTTAGCATAAGCTAAGTGAGAATCACTTCACCCTATAAAATATAGACTTATATTTTTATATTTTCAAAACTCATATAATTTTATACTTTTCCAAAATACATGTGGAGTTATACTTTTTCTTTTATAGAGAATTAATATTTATAAATGGAGATAACCAATCTTTTTGAAATTCACTTGGAAACTGGACTAAAACCTATGTGCACACGCCAGATGATTCCGAGCCAGGGTAGTATACGATCCAAGTAGTCAGGTTTCCTAGCTACCTACTACCACTCAAACAATTTGAAAACTGGATCATAAAATATGTGATACACCCTCATGGGATTCCAAGCCCAATGAGTAGTAAATGTCAAAGTGAATAGTACTCACTTTACTGAACACCACGCAATATAATGTTTTCTCAAATTACATTATTTCTGCACAAATAAATATCCTTCACAAAAAAAAAAAAAAAAAAAAAAAAAAAAAAAAAAAAAAAATTTCTCCAAAATATATCATTTCTCCAAAATATTTTCATCAGAACCTATTTTTCTCGAGATATTTTATCCAAAATCATCTTTACTCCACAATATAGAGGTAATACAAATTTCACCACATATATATATACACCAAAGTTTCCCAAGCCAACGATTTACTCACACAGGGCTCAACACGTCGAAGCCCATTCTTGATATTTCGAGAATCACCACACACAACATTGAAATTTATCGATAAATTCACATGTGATCACTTAAATATTATAGTTCATATAATATCACACATAGTTCATAGCAATACATTTTTGTAACAAATAATTTTGATAGATCTAAACACTCATGAATATCTATATCAATCAATAAATCACAATAAGAACAACCAGTAGGGACCACTCATGGCAGAACCGAATTAAATATTGACATGAAAAATGATAAATTGGAATAAGTGTTGGTGGAAAAGTTAGTTGAGCTATAGAAAACTGTGGACAGGTACTATTAATTGAAGTATTATATGGAATGTGTAGTTGAATAAAATAATGACTAAAAAATACCAAACCAGAATTGAATTTGGTGAAAGTCTTAATGTGAAATCATGAGTATAATCTTTGTGCAAATGGAATGGTAGAATGGGACCACCTTTGTGTTTGAACAAGTACACCTACCATTTTGCAGGGAAAAAAGCCAAGTGCACAAACAACCAGAGCACAGATGCAGAAAACTTCGATCCGGACAATGACATTGTTAGTGCACCGGAGCAAATACCGCGGCCACAAATGCAAGAAAAAAATGACGGAAGAGAGTACGAGTTGCTCCCGGAAGAGGTGCAAAGATTCCCCACGTTCAACACAGGTGCAAGTGCTTGTTATCTAGTGGACCCAATAAAGAAATTTGGTTCCCTACAACGAAATGCAGTACGGGAACTCGGATTCGGAGGTTTGCTAAACTTACATGTGGAGGACACGCCCCTGCGAATGGGAAATTAGTTATTGAAGAACTTCGATGCTAGCACAAAGACAGTAAACTTAGGACATGGACGGGTGTTAGAAATAAGAGAGGAAGATATGCAAACAGTACTAGGATTCCCGCGAGGAAATAGGCTGATTCAAAAAAGGAGGAGGAATGCACAATGTGTAGAGCTAGACACATGGAGAGCAAAGTTCCAAAGGGCTGACCACAAATAGCACCC